CATTATTGAACCAAGAAAGGATGATCTAAACCATTGGTTTTCAGCCGCTACGACCCGGGACTGAATCCCGCTTTGGGTACTTTTTTATTATTAAAAAAATGCTCCAATGGCCTCCGAATTTTGCAAAAACTAGCCCCACCAGCGAGTGCAAGTAACCAAACGGGTCTCTGGCACATTTTTAAGTGCAAAGTCGAAATGCTTTTCACATGTGTAGACATGTGGTGCACTTATGGTAAAAGCTGTCGCCAACTTCTACCCACCATTATTATCATGGCCTGTACCACTTGTACTAGGGATAAGCAAAAAAACTATTGAACCTTCTTTTAAAGTTTGTACACTTCAACTAAATAATGTTCTATTAGTTTATTAAGCGCTTGTTAGGACCATTTGGGTCCTTAAACAGTGTTATGTATGCCAATACTAACTAACCTCTTTGAAAAATTGACAGTAAAAAAATGTAGTGTTCTCATATTATTCGGTGATCAACGATGCTACTGCTGAGTTTTAATGCTGATATAGGGGTTTGGAAACATAGAAATGTCTGGAGTCAGCTTAGAATGGCCAGATTGCCATGGAGACAGACGTCCGGGAACGAGGGTAATCTGTTGACGACACAAGAGTTGGAAGATCAATCTTCCGCTTTAATTGTTCCCTCGTTAATCTTCGCGCCACAAACTTTGGCGCTCGAGGATAGCTCCACTCTTGAAGCTCTCAGAGAAGAATTTGGAAATCTCTGAATTGATAGGTCAAACAAAGGAATCTCTTCAACCCGATATTTTGTATGTTTACTATGCGCTTTAGCTTTGTAGTCTTCTTTAGCTATTGACTATTAGTAGCATTGGTGAGGCCCAAACGGGGCTCTGGCACATTTGTAAGTGCAAAGTCGAACTGCTTTTCACATGTGTAGACATGTGGTGCGCTTACAGTAAAAGCAGTCGCTAACTACCCACCATGATTATCATGGCCTGTACCACGTGTACTATGGATAAGCAAAAAAAAAGTAACATTGGTTAACTCCACTCTTGAAGCTCGCAGAGAATAATTTGGGACTCTCTGAATTGATAGGTCAAACAAAGGAATCTCTTCAACATTGATATAGTGTATGTTTACTATGCACTGTAACTTTGTAGTATTCTTCAGCTATTGACTATTAGTAGCATTGGTTAGCTCCACTCTTGAAGCTCGCAGAGAATAATTTGGGGCTCTCTGAATTGATAGGTCAAACAAAGGAATCTCTTCAACATTGATATTTTGTATGTTTACTATGCGCTGTAACTTTGTAGTATTCTTCAGCTATTGACTATTAGTAGCATTGGTTAGCTCCACTCTTGAAGCTCGCAGAGAATAATTTGGGGCTCTCTGAATTGATAGGTCAAACAAAGGAATCTCTTCAACATTGATATTTTGTATGTTTACTATGCACTGTAACTTTGTAGTATTCTTCAGCTATTGACTATTAGTAGCATTGGTTAGCTCCACTCTTGAAGCTCGCAGAGAATAATTTGGGGCTCTCTGAATTGATAGGTCAAACAAAGGAATCTCTTCAACATTGGTATTTTGTATGTTTACTATGCACTGTAACTTTGTAGTATTCTTCAGCTATTGACTATTAGTAGCATTGGTTAGCTCCACTCTTGAAGCTCGCAGAGAATAATTTGGGGCTCTCTGAATTGATAGGTCAAACAAAGGAATCTCTTCAACATTGATATTTTGTATGTTTACTATGCGCTATAGCTTTGCTTTCTTCTTTAGATATTGATTATCTCTCTATCAGTAGCATTGGTTAGCTCCACTCTTAAAGAGAATTCAAAATCTCTGAATTGATTGTCCAAACAAATAAATCTCTTCAACATTGATATTTTGTATGTTTACTATGCGCTATAGCTTTGCTTTCTTCTTTAGATATTGATTATCTCTCTATCAGTAGCATTGGTTAGCTCCACTCTTAAAGAGAATTCAAAATCTCTGAATTGATTGTCCAAACAAAGGAATCTCTTCAACATTATTATTATGTATGTTCACTATGCGCTGTAACTTTGTAGTATTCTTCAGCTATTGACTATTAGTAGCATTGGTTAGCTTCACTCTTGAAGCTCTCAGAGAATAATTTGGAAATCTCTGAATTGATAGGTCAAACAAAGGAATCTCTTCAACATTGATATTATGTATGTTCAATATGCGCTATAGCTTTGCTTTCTTCTTTAGATATTGATTCTCTCTCTATCAGTAGCATTGGTTAGCTCCACTCTTAAAGATAATTCAAAATCTCTGAATTGATTGTCCAAACAAAGGAATCTCTTCAACATTATCATTATGTATGTTTACTATGCGTTGTAGATTTGCAGTATTTTTAATCTATTGACTATCAGTAGCATTGTTTAGCTCCACTCTTAAAGAGAATTCAAAATCTCTGAATTTATAGGTCAAACAAAGAAATATCTTTAACATTGACATTGTGTAAGCAAAAATACGAGAATCATGGGACGAGTGTCTTTTGTATTGACATTGTGTATGTTTACTTTTGGTTGTAACTTTGTCGTTTTCTTGAACTATGGTATATCAGCAGTATTGGTTAGCTCCACTCTTGAAGATAATTTAAAATTTCTGAATTGATAGTTCAAACAAAGGAACTTTAGAATATCATTAATATTGTTTATATATCCATTCTAAAAGATAATTCGAAATCTCTGAATTGATTGTTCAAACAAAGAAATATCTACAATAACAATAATGTGTATGTAACTATGCGCTGTAACTTTGTATTCTTCTTGAACTATTGAATATATCAGCAGTATTGGTCAACTCCACTCTTAAAGATAATTCAAAATCTCTGAATTGATAGGTCAAACAAAGGAAACTTTTCAACATTGATATTATGTATGTTCAATATGCGCTGTAACTTTGCAGTCTTTTTGAACTTTCAAATATCATTAGTATTGGTTATTTATCCACTCTAAAAGAGAATTCAAAATCTCTGAATTGATTGTTCAAATAAAGAAATATCTACAATAACAATATTGTGTATGTTTACTTTTCGTTGTAGCTTTGCAGTCTTTTCTAAATTTCAAATATCATTAGTATTGGTTATTTATCCACTCTAAAAGAGAATTCAAAATCTATAAATTAATAGTCAAAATAGTTCGTTGTAGCTTTGTATTCTTCTTGAACTATTGGATGTAAGCAGCATTGGTTAGATCAATTCTAAAAGATAATTCAAAATCTATTAATTAATATTCAAAATAGTTCGTTGTAGCTTTGTATTCTTCTTGAACTATTGGATATAAGCAGCATTAGTTAGATCAATTCTAAAAGAGATTTCAAAATGCTAGAATTGATAGTCTAAACAAAGGAATCTCTTTATCATTAATATTATTATCTATTTACTTCGCTGTAGCTTCATAGTCTTCTTGAGGTCATTGCATCGATTTTTGACAACCACGACACAGGTTCGAATCCCGCATAGGGCACATTTTTCTGATGAAAAAATACTTAAATGGTTCCTTAATTTTGCAAAATTCCAACTCCCCCCCCTCGACAGATAAGTACAAATAACTTAACGGGGCTCTGGTACTGTGTAAAGGAAAAAGTCGAACATGATTTTTCTACATGTGGTTAACTTACTATTGCCAACTGCCAACCATGATTTTAATTACAGGTAACATGTGTATACTTGGTGTAAATAAAAAAGATATTTAGTATGAAAATAATGGTTTCCTCTACAGTCGAATAGACGCTGGAACTCTGACGGTAAAGGTAAACTTTATTTGAATAGATTCATATCCTCCCGTGATAAAGAGAACAAAATTTTCCATCTATTTTCTTTAGTAATTGTAAATCAGTGTTATATTTCAATCTATTTAAAAATATATAATTATATATTCAATATATTTATAATTTCATGTATTTATACTGTCCTCAAAGCTTATTTCATCCAAAAATACCATTTCCATGAGTTCAGCGTCAGTATTGGTATAAAAGAAAACCCGAAAAAGGCAATATAACAGCGGTATGGTATAGATTAAACTGGCGAAACCGCTGGGAGGGTTCACCACTGATGAGTAAAGCCCTCCCATTAATTTTTCAATGTAGTAAGGGCAGTAGCAAATTGTTTAATTTTTGAAATAATCATACGCGTCTATAATAGTTTCGAATTCTCATTTCAATCTGAATAGAGTAAACAAAATAGTTTTCAATCAACCTGGATGTTACATCTATGTTATCTTAATGTTTTCCGCACCAACATATCTATATATACACATATAGATCTACTTCCACACAGCGAATATAAAAAGAACTTCAATTGCCCATTAGAGATTCAGCTCCAGTCCTCTCAGCACGCCATGATAATCATCCTGTGGGATGCACCAATCAGCTTCACTTACACCTACCTAGTAATTTGTTGAAGTCAGGAAGTCTAGCTTGTCTTTCTTTCCATTAGAGAAATTTGTAAAATTAAACAAATGCAAGTTCATTGAATTGCTATTTTTTTTATTTCAACTTTTTAGCAATTCAGATAATTTGCACTTATTTGATTTTATAAGGTATATTCGCTAATTAGAAAGATTTACCTATATACTTTAAAAGTGCAATCAATAATCTTATTCAAGTTTGAAAACAGGTTTTACAATTAATGCAGAATGTTTTATGTAGATTCCTAATATTGACAAAAAATAGCTATGCCACATCACTGTAATTTATTTTTAGAGCTTTAAAAATATCGATTTGACAATACATTTAAATCGGCAATATATGCTTTATATGAAATACCTAGTTTCTGACTCGGATATTCTTCGTGGTGTCATCTTTTAATTAGATAATGAACTATATAAATTACATTTTAATGGATAAATTAAGAAATGACATTTGAAAATATCCTGTATGTGTTTCTTTTGAACGAAAATTCGAAACTTATTTTAAGGAGAAATAACGACTTTTACAACCTTAGGGATTAAGTATGAAAGGATGAATTGTGAAGAGTAATGATAAACGGAAAAATAAAGTGTCCAGGGATGGGAAACGAACCCACAGCGTACCGCTTACCGAGCAGATGCCATGTCCACTAGGCTACCCTAGACATATTTTTCCGTTCGTAAATATTATATAAAGTGATTTTTATACAATATTGGAAATTTCGTTAATTCTCCTTAAAATAAGTTTCGAATTTTCGTTCAAAAGAAACACATGCGGGATATTTTCAAATGTCTTTCTAAAATAATAGGCCGCATTATATTGTATAAAATTAAGAAATATATGCGGGATTCGATCCCAGTTCATGGCTGACGAGAAGGTTTCAAAGGCTTATACTACATGCTCACCAAACACCTAATATTCTTAGGGGAACTTTTGTTGGGTCGTTTTTGAAGACAACTCTCAGCTTTATAAAATAATTTATTAAACTTTAAAAATTTTTAGATATAGAGAGAGAAACGAGTTAATTACCTCGTATTTAAGGCAACAAAAGAATCATCTAATTTTCATACATCGTTCTAACCAGATTCAACTTGTGCAAAACAGACGACAAAGCAAAATAAACAAACTAATAATAGAGAGTAAGTTCCTATTTTTTACAAGCTTTCAAACTCAAAGAATAATCATTTTTTTGCTTCAATTTTTCTAATATTCGAATGAATATTTAAAAGGTTTAACGGCAAAATTTAACAACGGAAACATGCGCTTCGGCTTCTAGGACGTCATACACTTGCTGAGAAAACAAGCAAACAACTAGGATAACGAACCTGATATTATTCATCATTTATTTATTTATTGATTTGGTATATATGTAGTAATGTAAATTGTTGTTATCATGTTGGATGAATGAAGTGTGGCATGTTGGTTGCAGTCGTGGTGGCCACAATGTTTAGAGTGGGTTCAGAGGCGTGATTGGGATTACACAAAAAGACGAGACATGTTGGATGTCACCATATATATATTATATATAAACTAAAATGCAAATATTTTATATTTTAATAGCATGTATTTTATTTTCATCATTGACTATTAGATTCTATTTGATAGAAGAGAGAGAGAGAGAGATCAAAGTGGAATCGAAGAAGGCCATGAAGGCGATCCCGAAAACAGACTACCAGAGGTGTTTTGCCGACTGTAAAAAAGGTGGCTGAAGTGCATCGCGGCCAACGGGGACTACTTTGAAGGGGAAATTTTGAATTTGGTAGATTAATAAAGTTTTTTTCAACTTATGAGCAAAGTGTCGAAACTTTTTGATTAGAGTAGTATGTGTAATTTGCTTCAAGTAATTCAAAATAAAAACTACTTGATAAGTAAATGATTATATTTCCTTTTTCACGACAGTACCTTTAATTCTCTATCTTTTTCAACAACAAAACAAAATATTCATAACATATATATGCTTTAATATAAACTCTATCTGATGTTTCACTGACCTGATTTAAGTAATTTATATATATAGAACTATGCGGCGACGGCCAATAGATGGCGTCAGTGTTTGACGTTTATTTTGACGGGAGAGGCGCCCTGTGCTTCTATGGATCAATTTCCTCCCGGCAAATTTTCCATCTATATTCTAGCCATAGATTTGGCCCAGCCACCTTGCCAGCAAAATACCTTTTAGTAGATTGTGAAGATTCCATTATATCTCGTGCAGATCTCATGAAATGAAGTCCGCCCTAAACTGACGAGGGCCATTAGCACGAAACCATAGATTCTAGGTGGACGCTTCTCAATTTGCCAGAGCTGGTGTTGTGGCTTTGTCACCGACCCGAGGCCGCTAGTTGCGGCGACGGTCAATAGATGGCGTCAGTTTTTGACGTTTATTTTGACGGGAGAGGCGCCCCGTGCTTCTATATATAGAACTACTAGACGGGTGACCCGGGCTTCGCCCCGGGATTGACCCGTGTGCATATCTACCCGAGTGATATATATTTAGATAAGATTTTTTTATAATTGTTTGTTATTAGCATTATCTATTTGTTTGCATCAGCATAATTTAATCTAATCTTTGATAGAGGGCGCTGTTCGTGAGCTAAGTAGAATAATTTGAATACATAGTTTTATTAATTGATTTATATATTTTTTTAAAATAGCCTATCGTCTTCCCCGTATTTTTTTACCTATGTATGGGAATTTTGGTTTGAATTAGTGAACTACTGCGAATTTGTATACCGGACATACAAACAAACAAACAAACATTGATTTATATATATATAGATATCAACATTTGTGTGTGTTTCTTTACACAGTATAATATACAATAATAATATACAAAAGTATACAGTTGCCATCACAGTACGTTCCCCTTCTATCCTAAAAATCTTCAAAAGTCTCCACTAAATCCTTTGAACTGTATATAGTTGATTCTTTATATTTATTCAATTACGTAAATTTCTTTTAAGATATCTTTGTACTATATTATATTTGAAGTTAGGATCAGACATGACGTGGCCACGCGGTGCTATTGAAACGAGGGCGATAGGGGCGTGGTAATTTTCTTTTCTTTTATTTTGTTTATATTAAAAACGATATATAATCTCTCCTTGTTTGTACACTATAATTAGCTGAAGAAGGGCTTGCCCGAAAGCTTCTTTTATCGCGTTAATAAAAAAGAGTTGCGGCGATATATGATTCCTTCTTTCTAATTTGTTCGAAATCCGCAAACCGTTTACTATGAATATAGTACACTACACCTATCCCCCGATTTACACGGTACTTGTTTTACACGTTTTCGCTTTTACACGGTTTTCCAAATAAGATTTTTTTTTGTTTTTATTGCACTATACTAAAATGCGATATTCTACTCTATACTACCTATGTTGAAAAGAATATTGGAAGGCTCTGATTCATGAGGGGGCGAACACCTATTCAGATTTGACAGTTTAATATACACCTATCCCTCGATTTACACGTTTTTCTCAGGAACGTATCTACCGTGTAAATCGGGGGATAGGTGTATTTAAATATAGTTAATTATAATATAATAACAGACTTAAAATAACAACATGTTGATGGTGTTTAGTAGAACTAAATAAAGAAACACAAATGTTAATGTAGTTCTATATATAAATTAATTATATTATAATGCACTAGCGCGCCATCTGTTATGAAAATTCGAAACTATTTAAGACACGTAAGATTCTTGTTCATCTAAAATACTCATTCCAAGAGTCTAGCAATAGTATCACTATAAAAGGAAGTTCCAAAAATGCAATATAACAGCAGTATGGTAGATTAAACTGGCGATACCGCTGGGAGGGTTCACCACTGATGAGCCAGGCCCTCCCATTAATTTTTCCATTGCAGTAAGGCAGTATAAATTGTGTAATTTCGAAAAGAATCTAACGCGTCTAAAATAGTTTCGAATTTTCATAAATTACTTAAATCATAATTAATATAAAATGACAATTCTATTCACGGCTTAAAATTATTGTATATATATATGTATAGACAAATGTAAAGGCATACATGTATGACAGCGTAAGTGTCCTTAGGGGGTCATAGTGCTTTAAATTGATATTAAATTTAAAATATTTAATATAAAAGTGTTTTATATAAAAAATGAATGTTTTTAAAATTCGAAACTATTATAGACGCGTATAATTCTTTTTAAGAAATAAACAATTTCTATAATATATACACACACACACAAAAGCCTTTATTAAGACACACAGGTCTTACAGAGGATTCTCCTTGGGGTTACAAGACGGAGAAACCTATGAAAGTGGGAAATAAAAAATGGAGAAAGATTATATACATATGGTAAATATATACAGATTATAAGAAAAAATAAAAAATATATATAAGAAAGAAAAAAAATTGGAAATATGGAATTTCTATATTATAAATTCTATTATATAAAGAATCATACATGTCTATAATAGTTTCGAATTTTGATAACAGATGGCGCGCTAATGCATCATAATATAATGAATGTTTCTCTAAAACAGATAAAATGTTTCTAAAACTTTAAATATTATTGTTGTATTGTTTAAATTAGAGTGACAATAAGAAGGTCGTTAGAGATTGTGTTATATGGGCTAGTAAGAATGGGGCAGTTTAACCAAGTTAGAGAGCTCTGACAAAATTACAACGTCGCCAGAACTTACCATCTTATCTTAATGTTTAAACTTGCCTAGATAGAAACTGAATTGCTTCCTTAATAGACTTCACCTTCCGGCTACAACACAATTCCGTAAATTTGATTTGTTTACAGGTATTCAGTGCCATTTTAATAACATGCTTCCACTTATACTTCTCTTCTTAATAAAATGTTTATTTTTCATAATTCAAACTATTTTTTTGTAATAACACATTTCTATTTATATAAAAAAAGGGAGATATATAAACGTTGGCAGACATTTTAAATAGAATTCTTAAAAGAATTTAAATACGTGATGATAAAATATAAACTTGACATTTATTATATATATGTTTACAAGATAAACACCTTCTTCTTTTTTAATATATATATTAAATATAATGAATGCATAATAATTATCTATCAATTATTTATTAAGAAATTGGGTTGGCCAAATATCAGGGAACAGTTAAAAATCAATGTTTAGTTGATTTTTGTTCCACCAGATGGCGCTCGGCCATTGTGCTCTTGTTTCAAATAACATTATGCATATATTTATATATATATCCATTATATCTCTCTCTCTCTCTCTCTATATATATATATATATATATATATATATATATATATATATATATATATATATATATATTGTAACTATTGCTGTTATTCCTGTATATACCCTCTTCTACTTGGAGAAGATGTATAAGACCAAAAGGTCACAACAGGGACTTTTGTTGTTGTTACTACTGTTATTCTTGTATGTACCCTACATTTCTGTGCTTGGAGAATCCGTATAAGACTATATTGTCTTAATAAAGCTTTTTGTTGTTGTTGTTGTATATAAATAAATGTTACGAATGTATATATGACGAAGACCAACAGCCTGAAACCCGTACGTGAAGATGAGTTGGCCCAATTTCACGGAAGAGTTTAGTTTATTTGTGTTCCGCTAGATGGCGCTCTGACATCTAAAATGCTCATGTGAGCGGTCGGTATATGCCTTTTCTGTTTTTAATATATTAT